CCCCAATCGCGGGCTCGACCCTCCCAGTCCGGTCCGGCCCGGCCAGCTGCAGGTAGCGCCTTCGCGCACGCGTCTGGGTCCGTGCCTGAGGGCAGGGGAGGCGGTGGTGACAAGGCGGCCACTGGGCCCGTCCTGGGGTAGAGTGGCCCTCAGGAGCGAAAGAGGGGTGCTGCTCTCGTGTCTGTCAGGAGTCCCCCTCTCCGGGCTGCAGCCCCCAAAGCCAGGCGGACGTCGGGGCGCTGCACTGCCCAACAGCCTACCACTAGCTCTGCTCCGCTCCGAGCTGCCTGGGCCGAGCCGAACGGGACCGCGAAGGGAACGAGGTCACCGCGCGGTTGCCCAGTGACTTCCCCGGACGCGACTCTCCAGTGAGCAGCCCTTGCCTCCGAGGCTGACTGGGCCTGGTCCTTCGCAAAACGCTTTCTTGTTCACTTCCCCGCTTCACCCCCAGAACAAAAGGCTGGGGTCTACCTGAAGAGGGGGCAGCTGCAGGGAGGGGACGGACGTAAAGAAGAGCTAGGAAATTGCAGAGCTGGAGGTGGCTTTGAGATTACGGAAGCAGCCACTAGTGAGGAAGCCAATCCTAGAGATGTGAAATGACTTGCCCAAGGTCACACAGCTCTTGGTGACAGAGCTAGGTCCAGAGTGCAGGGCTCGAGATTCTCCTCCCAGCCCCTGAGTGCCTTAGGTTACCAGAGCTAGATCTAAGTAGGGAGCTCTGGCAGCGTAGTGCCTAAGGCATCTGACTGCTAACCAGAAGGCTGGCAGTTCAAACCCACTAGCCACTCCTAGGAAGGAAGATGGGGCAATCTTCTTCCGTAGTGATACTGCCTCAGAAACCCAAGGAGGGGTCACTATGAGTTGGGTCTGACTCAATGGCACATGACAACAACAACAGCAGATCTAAGTAGTGGTTACACAGGTGTAAAAGTCCTTTCTGACTCATGTGTTGCAGAGTACAACTGCATTCCATAGGGTTTTCATGGCCATGACCTTTCAGAAGTAGATCTGAGGTGCCACTGGGTGTGTTTGAACTATCAGTCTTTCAGCTAGTATTTGAGTACTTAATTGTTTGTGCCACCCAGGAACTTCTACACAGGTGTACACATATACAAATTGTGAAGGCACACCTGTAAGATTTGTGCATTTGG